CTGAGCTGTCCCAAGTTACACTAATAAATGAATTACACATCAGGAATAGATGGTGTAGCTCTCACTGGCAACACACACTTCCATTCAGTCATTCACTCACCTTTGTCAAGTGCCTACCACCCCAGGCTGGCACTGAGCAGGCAAAAATGAACAAGCCTTCCAGTAGCTTACAGACCTGGTGGGTGAGGCAGGTAAGTTGCAGTGATTGCAATGCCTTCCCAACAGATGATGAAAAAGAGTTACATTTTTGGTATTTTATGAAGACAGAGAGAAAGGCAGCTCTGTTGAACAGTTTCAGATGAAACATTAAAATTAGAGTAAGGGGACTGGGTGCAGTAGCTCAAGCCAGTAATCTTAGCTACTTGGAAGGTGGAGAGCAGGAGGATCAAGGTTCTAGGTCAACCTGGGGAAAACATTCTTAAGACCCCATCTCAATCAATGGTTGGCTGTGGTGTACATGCCTGTCAACCCAGCTATGCATGGAAGCACACACAAATAGGAATATCATGGTCCTCCAGGCTGTCCTGGATATAACGCAAGACCCTATGTCAAAAATAACCAATGCAAAATGGGCTGGGGGCACAGCGCAAGTAACAGAGTGCCTGGCTAGAAAGCACAAGATCTCGAGTTCAACCCCCAATAGTGTGCCACAAAAAAAATTAGAGTAGGAGAAACTTAAACTTTATAATCTGTTCTTCTCCTATAGTCACAAATACTCTTAAAAAAAAAAAAAAAACACCTCAAGTCCACTCCTAAGTGTATACCCAAAAGCTAAAACACAAACAGGTATCTGTATACCCATGTTCATGACACCATTATTCACAATAGTCAAAAGGTAGAAAAAACCAAATGTCCCCTGAGGAATGAACAGATAAAACACAACATATGCAAACTGGGCACCAGTGGCTCATACCTGTGATCCTAGCTACTCAGGAGGCAGAGATCAGGAGGATTGTGATTCGAAGCCAGCCCAGGCAAATAGTTCATGAGACCCTATCTCAAAAAACCCCATCACAAAAGAGAGCTGGTGGCTGAAGATGTAAGCCCTGAGTACCGAAGGGAAAAAAAAAACCACATACAATAGAATACTACTCAGTATTAAAAAGAAAAAAATCTGGCAGAATGCTATGGCATGGATAAGCCTTAAGATATTATGCTAAGTTAAATAAACCAGACACGAAAAGACAAACCTTATATGAATCCACTTACATAAGATACCCTGAGTAACCAGATTCATGAGAGGGAAAGCAGAATAGCAGTTGCCAGGGCAGTTATTGTTTAATAGAAACATTCACTTTAGGAAAATGAAAATGTTCTGAAGACAGATGAACTGTGGCAATGGTTGCACAACAATGTGAGTGGTTCCTAATACCACTGAACTGTACACACTTAAAAATTTTCAAATGATAAATTTTGTTATCTATGTGTTTCACAACAATATAAAAAAAAAGGACTTTGGAAAATCCTTTATAAATAAGGAAACTGTCCCCACTCCAGAGGAACTAATACAGAAACCTTAAAATGACAGAGGTTATCATGAGCAGGGGATCAGGAACCAATGTAAAGATCAGTTAGAGTTGAATCAACATGGGTTGTAACACATGGATACATGAAAGCAATATTAGGCCATACAAGACCAGTCTACATTTAACCAGTTCCCAAACATGGAAAAAAACGCAGCCAAGATTACTGAACTCAGCCCAGGGGCAGAAAATCATGTCTGTGGTTTTTCATATATACCAGCCAATTGCGTTCTGTATCAGTTATTAAGGAGGATCATATGACTGGAGGAGACAAAATAAGACTAGTTGGAAATGAAGGTATGTGAAGAATATGGGATGTGTTTAAAGAACAATTAGTTGTCCATTTTGACTATAGATCAGTTGTGCCTAATGGGTTACTAGGAAATATACCTGGAAAAGTGGGTAAACTGGCTTGGCAGTTTCTGCCCAATTTAGTAGATGCTAAGAAACCTTTACACAAACTATAACAAGTTTATTTTCTACTCACGATACTATGATGGAAGTGTTACAATTTCCAGTTAAAGAAAAGAGGCAGAGACCCACAATCAGAGTTTGAATATAAGCAATCTGACCATAGAGCCTGCCTTATCCACTGGCTACAAAACCATAACAGAGAGAAAGAAGGTGCAGAGAACAGCTATGAAGACAGAGCAACTGGCCAAGAAAGAGCCTGACCTGAGGAAATGGTAGTGGAGAAAGACAGGAGTTGAGAACTGTGAGCAGCATAGCATGAGGGCAGGCTGTAGGATGGGAAGCAGAGAGAAATGCAAAGATAATAAGCCCAGGGGCCTGGGAGAGTGACTGGCGTCACCATCTGATAGGGGGAATACAGACACTGGCTCGAGCCTGTGGATTCTGAAATGCCCATTTTGGGTGAACTCATTGAAACCCACGAGCAGATGAATGCACTACATATTTGGGGTCATTTGCACTAAGTGTTGCATTAAATGCTCTTGGATTTTACCCGGCATTATGAACAGATAGGATTCCTATCCATGACTACATTTTACTTAATGTGATTATTCTTGATAATCAATTGTGAAGCAATCTATTGAACGTGGATATTGTTTCATTCAACAATATGAATTTTCTCCTATCTGAAACTTTAACTGAGAGTTAAGATTGTTTTTAGTCTTTATAAAGTTTCATTTCCTACAGTTTATTTCTTTGCTTGCTTTTTGTTTTGTTTCGTTAAACAGGTAGAACAATTTGACCAAAGTTAAAAGCTAATTAAGGATAGAGTTGGTAAAGGGAAGTAAAATGAGCTTTATCTTTCATAGACTTTCTATCCATTGCTGGTTTTATAACAATGCTGACTAACAAGAGATGAAGGCAATAACTGCTCTCCTTCCCATGCAGAGTGTTCCAAAACACTGTTTAAAGATTTATGCTTCTACTCAAAACAGAACATTTAGTTGTGTTGCGAAATGTCATGGAGAAAAAGTGCCTGAGTTGCAGACTGATGTAAAACAGATGTGAATTCAAATGCAAGTTCTGCCACACTCCTTTGTAGCACTTGGCAAGCTACTTAACCAGTCTGAATCACAAGTTTCTCAGCTGTAAAATTTAGAATAATGAAAGGTCACTTGCAAGGTTACTAGGAAAACCAAGAAGAGAATATGTATGAGAAACTCTAGCCTATACCTATCCTGGTACTTAATAAATTATTAGTTTTCTTTTTCTTTTCAAAAACTTGCAGGAACAAAAAAAGAAAGAAAAAAAAAAAAACCTTCCAGGACCTGGAATTTATCACTGATAACTTTGTGAAAATAATATTTATTATTTCCCAGTTTGGTTAATGATCAACTTTACTGAACTTGCCATTATTAGTGGCTCAGTAATAAGATACAAAATTCATCAAGTAATTTCTTTTCAAATTTCTCATAAGTGGGTAACTAAAAACCATCACCATATGAAAGTTAATTATTTGTCTGAGTAGTATGAACCCATTAAAGTTTACAGGTGAAATATTTTCTGTGCACTCAACATTCAGCACAGGCAGGAAACTAGAAACCCAGATCTGCTGCTGACTCCCTGATGTCGATCCCAGCTCAGTCATCAGCTCTAGTTTTTTTCAGCATCCATTGTGCAGTAAATCTCAACTACATGACATACACATGGATCAAAGATGTAAATGTGTTTGTAGTTCTTTCCCTGGGCACACAGTAAAACAGTGTGTTTGTAAGTAAGCAAAGAACCTAGAAAGATCGTTGTTTTTAGCTCTTCTTTTTCCCAATACTGAATAGACCCATCTATCTTTTTTTTTTTTTTAATGCTGCAGTGTACATGAGAATGTAGATTTCTCTATTAGGAGCTGTACTACCATATGACCCAGAAATATTGCTTCTGGGTAGAAAACCAACTAATGATATCTTTCCTTAAATACCTTTTTTCCAATCAAAACATTTATTCCAAAGAGTATATGATTAATTCACCCTTATCATCATTAAAGCATAAATAAATAGTAAAGTTTAATGTCTCCTGGGGAATTTATCTGTACCACAACTGAGAATAAGATCACCAGCTTAAATGAAAAGAATACAAGTGTCGTGAGGAGTGCAAAGCACCTGCCAAGCAACAAGAACAATTAAAATCATCACAGGAGCCTTCATGCTGCTCCCTAAGTCAATCAACAGGCTGCCATCAGCACTTAATGAAGAACTAAAGCTCCATCAGTCCCTCCAAATTTTTATTTCACAAGGTAACTGCTCAGAAAGCACTTACTGAGGAAAGCTACAAAGAGTTCATTCTGTGTGTGCCACTTGTCACCATCACCACCACCACTATGACTGCTCCCAAAGCATTGTTATTAATGATGTAGGATTCTTAGTTGACTTCCTAGGAAACTGAGGTTAAAGATGCCGGTGTGGGTGGGAATGAGTTCATGCTTAGGAAGGCCCATTGGGTGAGCTGGAGAGCAGCCTCCTCTGTTACATAGGAACCAAATCCCATTGCTCAGAATAGTAGATGCCCCTAGAGAAAAGGTTAGTTTGAGAAGAATTAATTTAGAAGGTAACACATATGTACAGGAAAGCAATGCAAGTCAACTCCCTGTATAGCTGTCCTTATCTCAACTAGCAAAAACCGTTGGTCCTTCCTATTATTGCTTATACTCTGTCTTCAACAAAATTAGAGATAAGGGCAAAATAGTTTCTGGCGGGTATTGAGGGGGTGGGGGGAGAGGGAAGGGGCAGGGGAAAGGGAAGGGGTGAGGGGAAGGGGGGAGAAATGACCCAAACATTGTATGCACATATGAATAAAAAGAATTTGAAAAAAAAATAGTAGATGCCCATAAAGCACAGAAAAATACAGCAAACTCAGCCTGGAGCTCAGAGAGGGAAGTCCTTCATGGCTGACCAAGTCTCCACAATGTTCCCCACTGGAGTCCACCAAAAGATCGGAGGAGTATTTAACACACAAGCATCCATTACCCCCAGGCAGGGTCTAAGGAAGACTTTCTTCCCCGGTGTAACTTACCTGAGATCCATATCTCCATCAACCCAGAAAGTGAAGACATTGGAGATGGTCCCCCCAGGGCAGCACCCCATGATGAGCACAGCGATAGCTTGGACTGGCTTCAGAGAGAAACCGATGGCCAGCAGATAGGCTGTCAGAGGCATGAGTCCAAACTGGCAAAGCAGTCCCACGGCAATGCCCCAGGGTCTTCTGATGTGCAACCAGAGCTTCTGGATCTCCACAGAGCATCCCAGAGAGAACATGAGCAGACCCATCATTACCGCCGACACCACTGTGAAAACAAGTTCCAGGTTCCCATGTGCCTCCAGACCCCCAGGCACCTCTTCCTCTGAACTATTGGCAGGGCAGGCTGAGCTGCTGGAACAATTTGCTCTCATCTCCTCATCTCCTCAAGACAGCATTACAAATGAGCATCAGCAACGATGGCTGGGCAGGTCTAGCCTGTCACGTTTTGTAATAACAAAACAATTCCAATCGCTATTGGCCAGCCAGTGATTCATCCTAATCTGATCAATTCATTCACAAGTGGCATTATAAAAATAATGAACATAGTCATGGAACACAGAATAACCAGTGGTAAGCAAGGCTTTCTATTTCTGTTCTTATTCACTACTGAATATGCAAGCAGAAAGAGACAAGCAAACTTATTATCAAGTGGAGTGACCAGGCTGTCGTCAGCATCACATTGTGTTCCAGGAAAGTAGGCTGGATGCCAGACATAATTTCTCTCCAAATTCAGTAGGGATTTCAAAGAGCCAGGATGCAATGTTATGTGGACCGAAAGGCTAAATCCGGAAAAAACAAAGGCAGCAATGCCAAAGCCACGCCTAGAAACATTCGCAAAGCATCTCTGTTGGAAATATTAAAGCAAAATGAGGCTAATTAAGGAAATGTCCGGAGGTACAAAGAATTCCAAGAGACCTTTGGAACAGGCCTCAATTTTTCTTCTTTTTCCCTTGGTGAGAATTTTTGTCTAAAACCAATAATTAAACACCTGCAAGAATAACATGGTGTTAAGCACTTGATTATGTCTCATGAAACAAGTTGTAACTCGTTTCTGTATCCAAAATAATTCAAGAGATCTGCCACTTTCTTTTGGAGATTCAAGTCTGCTTTGAGCTGTCACACCCTGGGGTCACCTGAAGAAATCTGTGAATACTGCAGGGAAGACAGTAAACAGCTTGGTCTGGGATCAGGAGATGGGTCTGAGGACAGCCTCTAACAGCAATGCCCCAGGGGGCCCTCTGTGGTTCTCACCAGGCACCTTGGTGAAACCAGACAAGGACAATATGGTTCTTTGAAACTAAACTGCCTAAAAAGTAGGTACCACACCCTTTCTCACAGAGAGCAGACATTATTTGTGGTGCACAGGTGGTAACAAGGCACTTTATCAACTCTTCAGGCCTGTCTTAAGAGGGAGGTATGCATTGTTTGTTCTTGGATTAGCAAATATTTTCCATGACAAAATGCTCACGGCATGTTAGCTCCAATAAAATACAGGTTGGCATTATATATGTATAAAAATATCAACATGAAACCCATTATTTTGCACAATTAATATACACTAATTAAAAAAGAAAAAGAAAAAAATAAGGGGAGACATGGGTTGATTGAAAAAAAATGAAGTTAAAATAAGTGAAAAATAAATTCTAAGTTTTTGAAAGATAAACTACTCTAGGCAAACACTCTGAAAGCAGCCCTGACATAGAACCTCTCTGGAGGTATCAGAGGTAAACAAGGCTGTATTTACCGAGAGCCTAGCAGAGAGTGAGGAGTGAGTTAGGTCTCTGGAAAGCTGTGTGTTCCCAGCTTGAATGATACAGACATGTGGTCGGCCTGAGAAGGCATGGGGGAGGAAGAGAGAAAATGTTTTCTGAGTACCCGTGGGTGGCAAGAGTGTGCTAGGTACTTCACACATGGGTGGCTGTGTCTAGTGAAGCAGAACCTTTTTTTTTTTTTTTTAAATACTTGTTTAGTAAGAGAAGGTGTCTGATGCTTCTGTCTGAATGATGGCAAAAAAATCCCTTAGCAGACCTTCTTGGTTCCTTGAATAAGTTTTTGTCACACAAACTTAAGCTTAGTAAGGCCCCATTTCCTAATGAGGATGGTGTGATAGGAACTTTTGTCATTTGCTGAGTATACAGTGCTGACAGCTGGGAGGAGGGAGCTAATTTTGTCTAGGCACCCTAAAGAGCCTGGGGAAGGGATGACATTGGCCACCTCCCTTTTGCAATTTATCACTAATTTTCAAATGAATTAGGATGTTTCTAACTGATGTCTACTGTCAGGAAAAGATGACAACCACCAGGAAAGAAAGGGGTGTCTTTTTTTTTTTTTTTCATTTTTCTTTTATTATTCATATGTGCATACAAGGCTTGGTTCATTTCTCCCCCCTGCCCCCACCCCCTCCCTTATCACCCACTCCGCCCCCCTCCCTCTCCCCCCCTCAATACCCAGCAGAAACTATTTTGCCCTTATTTCTAATTTTGTTGTAGAGAGAGTATAAGCAATAATAGGAAGGAACAAGGGGTTTTGCTGGTTGAGATAAGGATAGCTATACAGGGCATTGACTCACATTGATTTCCTGTGCGTGGGTGTTACCTTCTAGGTTAATTCTTTTTGATCTAACCTTTTCTCTAGTTCCTGGTCCCCTTTTCTCTAGTACCTGTTCCCCTTTTCCTATTGGCCTCAGTTGCTTTAAGGTATCTGCTTTAGTTTCTCTGCGTTAAGGGCAACAAATGCTAGCTAGTTTTTTAGGTGTCTTACCTATCCTCACCCCTCCCTTGTGTGCTCTCGCTTTTATCATGTGCTCAAAGTCCAATCTCCTTGTTGTGTTTGCCCTTGATCTAATGTCCACATATGAGGGAGAACATACGATTTTTGGTCTTTTGAGCCAGGCTAACCTCACTCAGAATGATGTTCTCCAATTCCATCCATTTACCAGCGAATGATAACATTTCGTTCTTCTTCATTGCTGCATAAAATTCCATTGTGTATAGATACCACATTTTCTTAATCCATTCGTCAGTGCTGGGGCATCTTGGCTGTTTCCATAACTTGGCTATTGTGAATAGTGCCGCAATAAACATGGATGTGCAGGTGCCTCTGGAGTAACAGTCTTTTGGGTATATCCCCAAGAGTGGTATTGCTGGATCAAATGGTAGATCGATGTTCAGCTTTTTAAGTAGCCTCCAAATTTTTTTCCAGAGTGATTGTACTAGTCTACATTCCCACCAACAGTGTAAGAGGGTTCCTTTTTCCCCGCATCCTCACCAACACCTGTTGTTGGTGGTGTTGCTGATGATGGCTATTCTAACAGGGGTGAGGTGGAATCTTAGCGTGGTTTTAATTTGCATTTCCTTTATTGCTAGAGATGGTGAGCATTTTTTTATGTGTTTTCTGGCCATTTGAATTTCTTCTTTTGAGAAAGTTCTGTTTAGTTCACGTGCCCATTTCTTTATTGGTTCATTAGTTTTGGGAGAATTTAGTTTTTTAAGTTCCCTGTATATTCTGGTTATCAGTGAAAGGGTTGTCTTGACAGATGCAAGTTCCCATGGACCCAGTCACATTGGCACAGACGTCACAGGCTGAGACAAGGCACATCTGTTGAGTGTGAGAATGTGACCTGAAGAGAAGTAACCTTGAGAGCCCAACTGGGGCACCATTAAGTTGTGTGCAAGGATGGGACCACAGGGGCTAATGACAACAGGTAAAGGCCCATTGGGCTAATAGGATCACAACAACAAAAGATTTACTTAAAAAGAAAAATGCACACACACAGAGAGAGAAAAAAAAAAAAAAGCCAGGCGCAGGTGGCCCACCCTGTAATGCTATCTACTAGGGGGCAGAGATCAGAAGGATCACTGTTCAAAGCCAGCCCAAAGAGTTCATGAGACTTATCTTTTTTTTTTAACCCGCCCCCAACATTTTTTTTTTTTGGCAGCACTGGGGCTTGAACTCAGGGCCTTGTGCTCGCAAAGCAGGTGCTCTACTACTTGAGCCACACCTCCAGCCCCGAGACTTATCTTGAAAATACCCAACACAAAACAGGGTTGATGTAGTGGCTCAAGTAGTAGAGAACCTACCTAACAAAAGTGAGGCCCTGAGTTCACACTCCAGTACCGCAAACCAGGAGCTGAAAGCAGGGCCCATCATTTTCCAAGTTCTCCCCATCTGGGGCTGGGGAGGAATCTCCTTGAAGAGATTACAAACTACTCTTGGTAGTTTGTAAGGGAGACTTCAAAGAGGGGATCCTACACTTGTTGCCCCTATGGGCATGTAGGATTTCACATGATTAATGAGAAAAATTTCAAAGGCCTTGTAACAGGTCCTTAGAAACTGTTTTTTCTAAAAAAAAAATACTGACTCCACGCTTGAGCCCAAAAGTTAACTAAAAGTAGGAAAAAATTTTGGCACCCCCGCCTCCATTTCACATCTGTCTCCTTTACCCTCAAGTCTCTCTCTCTCTTCATTCACCTCAGGTTCCAGGAAGGACAGGACCAGTGGATAACATCTTACTACAAGAGCTGAAAATACCCTCTAGGAAAGGATTGGCGGAGCCTCCAAAAGACAGACCACCCCTCAAATGAGGACAATTATCTACAGTGATGAGGCTACAGCTACAACCTGGAGCAGGAGTAATCATCTCATAGGAACCAGATTGCTCCCCTCAAGTGATGACAAAGATAACTTCTCTAGATGACCACCCCTTCACCCCCACACACACAGAACTAGAACTGACATAATCATCAACCAGGCAACACTTTGACCAGGACTGTTTCGTTAAGCATACCTCTCTCCCCTGCCCCAATTCTTCCGCTATTTAAACCTAAAGCTTATGTCTGCACCCCTAAGAAGGGCTTACTTTGCCTTTTCCCTTGGCACGCCTGTGCCACGTAATCTCTTTCTCTACTTCTCTTTATTTGGCATGTTGGGACAAGAATCTAGACCTGACATGTGGAAACCCTAGAGTTAGGCTCTGCTGTAATACTGCATTTCCCCACTTTACAGATAAGGAAACAAAGGCCCAGGGGTTGTGTCCAAGGTTATCAAGCAAGAAAATTGTAATATTAGTCTAATTCTCAGACTATCCAAATTCCCCTGAGCATATGAAGTAGGAGCAATGAAAAATAGTCGCTAAGAGATCATATTGAAAAGGACCCAGGGATAAACACCTATGTCTACAAAGAGGGAGAAATAAACCAACGAATCCCTAATCCCTAATTTTTCTTCTAGATTCACAAATTTAAAGGGCACATAAAATATGTTCAATGTATTTGCACCTTAATTTTGAGAAGCCAGTTCTACAAAAATAACAGGAAATAGTTCATGTATTGTTCTTCTCTGCAAATAGAACAAGGAGTGAAAGATAGTCCTCAGGAAAACCAACAGAAGGGCTGGGCTCTTCAGGATGGGAAAGCAAAGGCTGATGGGAAAGTGCAAAAAGGAAGACTAAGCATGGCCGTGGGGTTGTTAGCCAGACTAGGAGAAACTTCTAGAAACTGAAGAACATAAAAACCCTATAGGTTCAAAA